TCTCTACAATAAATACATGATGATATGTTATGTGAGATAATTTGTAAATCATTTTCAGGAGAGCAGAAATTTCTCCAAAGAGTTTGAACTAGGTGTAGTTACCAGGCATGTTAATGGACTTAGAATATTTTTTAAAAAAGGAAAAAAAAGTGGAATAATTGTGTAGATAAAGTGAAACAAATTTAATGCATGTTTAACAATCAAAAGCAAATCTACTTAATTTTTAAATATTTGCTTAAAGAAGATAACATTTTGGCTATTACGTTATCTTACTAATTCTTGCGCGCCTTAAGAAAGCTAATGTTTCTATATATTTATAATATGTTTATGTTATTTTAAGAGGTACCTGTAGAATAACAGCGTTATGATCGAAGTCTTTACTTATTTGAGATTTTTAAAATGTCTCTTTTTTGAACCAGGAATTATTAACTAGCTATAAGGAAAATGAAAAGGGTATTAGTATGCTCCAGCTAATCAATATTGCATGCCCAGACTTGGAGGGGAAATTTGCCACTTGAGTGTCATATAATTGCATTCGGTTCTCTTTACCTTAAAGAAAAAAGTTCCTAAAAATCAGTTTCAATGTGGTGATTTATTTCAATGAAACTAATTCCTAAATACTATATTTTTGCTTAAGAAAACATTGACACAGTTCTTGGGACTAATAAACAGTTTTTTCTTTTCTTCTACTAAAGCCTTTAGATTTTCTTATAAAATTTAAGAAGGGATGGGAGCATTGGAAAGGGTTTTCCCCTCAAGGCCAGAGGTTGTTGTCCCTGTGGTAGGACGTGCTGTCAGCAGAGTTCACTTGATTCCTTACTGACAAAGTGAAGGTTATAAAAGTTAAGAGTTGTAAGAGTAAACAGGCAAAGAGCTGTGCAGGAGCTTCGCCCCTTACTCTACAGAAGCATCATACATGCAGAGGTAGAGATGCAAGTGTGGTCTACCAGCCCACTTCGCACTTGCATTTTAAAATAAGAAACATTTGAGTCTTTATGGATTATAAGACGCCGAGCCAAGCACTCTGGGGAGTGAAGATGGAAAAAAAAATCCCAGAAGTTTTCAAACTACTAAAAATCATAGCCATATAGAAATATGGGAGATTACAACAGAGAAAGAAAATGCTGTGGGAAAACAAAACATTTTGGACTTATTTCACCTCCTAGTACCTGTTTTAGCAAGAAGGTACCATTAACTATAAAACCAGATTTTACCCTTCCCAGGTGTTCCTGGTTTTAAGTGAGTCACCTTTCAAAACTGTATGATCCAGGGTAGAGCACACATTTGACATCTGTAAAGTGGAGCTATGGAAATTCATGGAGTAATTTGCTGAGCCTAATACCCCGCCTCACTTGAGATTATTCTTTCATAAGGTCATTGTCTTATATATAATGCCTTTGAACTCCATAGCATGAACTTGGTAGAGCTTTTAGGAGATGTAAAAGCCACAGAACACACAGTAGGCAAATAAATATTACACACCATTGTTGAAACAATTTTTAGCTGTGGTCTTGATTTTACGTAGCCTTAGAGACTCCCTAATGGCTCAGATCAAATAATGATCGACTGTGAGTATCACAGAACAGAATGATATTTTTTTATTATGTTGTCTCTGTGGCATCATCAAGGAGAGGTACTGGTAAAGTGGATGAATAAATTTTAACAATTCTGTCTTAATAATAAAAACGAATCTATGCAAGTGAATTTGATAGAATAGGAAGCAACGTAAGGAACATTTCTGAGGTGGTGTAACTTTCTGCTATGAATAAAGATTTTCAGTTTCATTAGATTTTTTGTTGTTGTTGTTCTAAGTTCTCTCTGATATAGAGTCATGATAATTATTTCAATCTGTGCAACTTTTAAAAAATATTTTCTTGATTTTTTTCTTTCATATTTTGTGGAGTTTAAAAACAACCTGCTATGCCACATAAGGCAAGAAAACTAAGCCAGAGTGGACAAAGCCTCTTTCCTCTGATGGCCAGTCCTACAGGGAGGCAAAGAATGTGATTTCAAGAGTGCCAGGAAATCTGCCATCCCTCAAAATATCTTCCTTTCCACCTGTCATGGTGTTTAACATTCCATATTTAGATAGTCACTTCTTTGGTGCATGAACATGCAAATACCACTGGGAGGGGCAACACCTTGCTATTATTATAACCTAACTCTTGCTCTCTGTTTATGTGTGTAATGATCAGATTTCCATGGGACAGCTGAAATCAAGGGACTTAGAGATCTGAGAAATAAGATAGCACTGTTTCCCTTAGGAGGAGAAGGGGATCTAAACATGATAACAGAAAAGTAGTAGCCAGTAGGATTTACCCTAAGTAATGAGTCATCAATTTTGCTCTAGTAATTAATCATATTGTTTTTTGGTTATTTTCTAGCTGACATTGATGACATGAAAATATGCTATGTCTTAAGAGAAGGGGCTAATGCCACAAGTGATATATTCCATTTTGCAGTTGAAGATGGTGGTAAGTGGTCCAGTCTCCTGGCAGTGAAAACAAGGAGAGGGACTTTTCTTGATTATTATTTGACACATTATTATTAGGAATTTTTATCAACTATAATTTTATGTTCACCTGGATTTATATTGAGTCAATTTTTGGTATTTGCTGTAGAAAATTCTACAGTCTCAAGCTGACACAATCGTCTTCTATAATGACTATTAATACGTGTTCTAGTTATTTTATTTTTGTCTTATGATTTGTAAAGCACAAAAGAGATAGATCTATATAAATACGATCTCCATGTCCAGTTGTTCAGATTAGCCTGTGTGAGGTGGTCTGCTATAGGTGACAAGACGATGTTGAGATCCAGCCCCAGCTGCACACACAGCCCATGTGCCCACCCTCGTGTGTCTGCCCAGAGGGGGTGCCTTTTTCCAATTTGCATATGCACCCTCTGTGGACTAATGCTGGTGAATAATGTGTTGCATTCACTAAGAAACCAGTGCTAAACAAATGTCTGTTTTATCTCACCAATCTCAGCATGTCTAATGATTTTCTTAGTTTGGAGGATTTTGTGACCAATTTAGCTAAAAATTTTCCTTGGCAAAGTCTGAAGAGTACTGCCAAGACTGGGATATGACTTGTGATCTAAGAGTCCTGGCAATATTATTTCATTGTTCCCTCCAAACCAATTGCCACTAATACTTTTTCAGCTCCTGACCACTTCTCTTCCTAACCCTGTAGGCTGGGAGAAAACTGGCCATGTCTAGATTGATCATAAAGATGTTTTTGTTCTTGTACGTTCGCATGAGAAGCAAAAGAACTGCACCAAGTACATGCGTTATGTGAACAGAACACAGGAAGTGAGGGCACATGTGAGAGAGGAAAGAAAGAGCAGAGAAATGATCCAGACTCAGTCTTCTGTTTCCTTATGATTTTTTTTAAAGGCATAGTTTTATGTCATCT